CTGTTTTATGTGTTATCTTCTCAATTCAGGGGGCCCTCTGCCTGTCTTTGCCTAGGGCCCCACTTTTCCTGAATTCGCCCGTTTGTGTCGAACATTCCGATTCATCAGTGTGAACATTTGTTTTGTTTAAGAGGAGAATCAGTGTTTTTTGGTAATCTAAATGATCATAAAAAGCTTTAAACTAACATTCTTCTGTTATTATGTCAGCTTCAGCAGTTTCAGCAACCGTCAGAAGAAGCCTCCTTGTTTCCATTAATAACTTATTCATCTGTCCTTAAGTCCTGCTTTTCAAACCCAACCAGGTAAATGTTTTTCTTCTCATCAGACTCTTTTTGTTTTTTCTTTTCCGTTCCTTATAAGTACAGACGGTGTACAGCATCTCAAAGCCATGCTTTTAAGATTTGAAGCCTCCTGTGAAGTCGTGCAGATGGATGATTCACCAGCGGCTGGCGGAGTGAAGCAATACATTTGTTTGAACACAAAAATAGTAAAAAAAAAAATAAAAAATAAATCCCCAAAATTCAAGGGCAGGAGTCGATTTGTGCTGGAGTTCTTTTTTTTTCTTATTTTGTTTTTTCACGTCTGTTTCTTATTCCATCTCTTTCCCCCCTGAAGAATTCAGCCTGTGTCTCTTTTTTTGTTCGCCTTTGTCTTAATCTATTTCATGTGTCAACTCCAGACTCGGTTGAATGTCGCTTGCTGACTGTGCAGCTACTTAAAAAGCGCTTCATCCTTTGTTTGTTGGTAGTGTGCCCTTAAAATGTCATATCCTCCCCAGATATTCACCTACAAACATCTCCTTCTTTTTCAGAGTCTGACTCAATCTGCTGCAAATTTAGAGGGCAACCGGCTCCCCCAGCAACAAGCAGGAAGCACGTTTTTACTCATTGAGGAGAGAAGATGAGAATCAGGGGCGTCAGGAATAAAGCTCTCCAAGTCAAACCAAACAAAACTGGCATCTTTCAAAATTTCAGGTTTGCGCTGCAGCCACTCCACTTCAAGTCGCATCACAGCCGGTTGCATCAGTGTTGCAGAGCACCAGCGTTGGTTACAATGTGACTCTGGACGGCAGCGGATAGAACAGAGATCAGGACTAATGGTAACAGCAATTGAAGTTGACAGAAAGCACCTATGTGCCACATGAGGCTGGTTCAAACAGTTATAGTAAATAATAAGAATGCTAAGAAATGAGCACTGAAGGCCTGAAATACATTCTTCATATTATTATTTCAGTTTTTATGACGCTTTTCTTCCCTCAGACTTAAAGTCGTAGGGAAGCGGCTTTTCCACCCGTTTCTCACGAATTCTCCTGAGTGGTGCCCGACTTTACACGAGTGAATAAAGTGAATGTGATTGGTCGTTTATCAAGGGGGCGGGATTATTGTGGCAAAAGGTTCGCAAGCAGGATTGATTGTGGCCAGTTTATCGTAAGCATCTTGCTAACCAGTTAGCAACTTAGTGCTAGTAGG